ACCTGATTATACCTGGATGGATGAATACCTGGCACTAAAGCATCACCTAAGGTTAGGCACTGTATATGATAGGCAGAACACCCACAAGGGAGGAATCTGTCCATAATTACAGAGCAACATTGGTAGTTAAAAGCAAAGGATGGCTTTTTAACACGCCGGCTCCCAAACGCCTATTTATTAAATAACATCCTGACTTCCATGATAGATGATTTCAGATAAATGAAAGAAAAAAATTTTTTTTTCCTTTCCCTCTGTATTTGGGAGAGGGTTGTATCTAGGAGGCTTGAGAAGAGATTGTTTTTATCCCATTAATCAAGGTAAACAGATAAGATTCCTTTTAAACTGAAAGATCTATAATACTTATTTACTACCTTTAAATAGATGGGGGCAGGGGATGAAGAACTGTTTTTTTTTTTTTTTTTTAAAAAAAGCAGATAATCTGGACCCTTGCTCCCCTTTACGTATAATCAGTGAGAGACCATTCACTGTACTGTACACAGAAATAACAGACTATCACTAAGGAATGCACGATCCTATACACTACCTACACACTACCATGAACCCTGGGTGACAGGGAAGGTTATAGGAATAAATGGAAATAATGCCTAATCTTTTGTTTCATCGTAAATACAGAATCCTACCTTTTGTCTCATCACATTTCCTCAGTCAACAAAAAAGAACCAAAGAAACTTGCTAAGCACCTTCTGGGAAAGCTCATTCTCAGAATTATACAGGCCCAAATAGAATTTCAGAATTCAAAGATACAGATAGTCTAACAATATCAGCTGCTAATCTAATAAAACATATGCCATACATGTAAAAATCAGATAAATAAGATTGAAACCCAATACTGAATGGCTAAAAAGTTAAAATAAGGATTCAACATAAGGCCATGGACAGGAACAATCAAGTAATCTATCCAGCTGCTGCTCACTTCTCACCTACTTCTACCTGGACAGAAACAGACTGGCTTAGCAGAGCCTGGGAGAAGCCTCGGGTGTGATGACAAACTCTAAACCAGGAGTCCTCAAGAAGAACCTAAGATCAGATATAGCTCATCTTATAAAAGAATATTGATCCCAAATGGGACATTTTCTTTTTAGATTTTCTTCCCAGTTTTCATTCCCGTCCCTTCAAAAACAAATCTTTGAAGATTAAAAGTACAATTTAAATAGACAAAAAGAAAACTCAGAAAGCTGTGGAACTGCCTTCCCCAACCCTAACACCTCATATAAGATATAAAAGCCTTTTAAAAGCCAGGCAATTCTAGTCATAAGGGCAAAGCACCAGATTTCTTAGTACAAGCTGAGGGCACCCAAGCAAAGCGCTGGTAAAGCGGCAGAACATGCAACATGAACTCCACACTGGGACTCCACACTGGGACTCCACACTGGAACAGGGAAATGAATGTTTTGAAACTACACTGCTATCATTTCCCTTCAAGAGGAGCCAAAGTGAAGCACAGATCACTGGAAGAGGAGGAGACCCAGCGCCACTATTTGTTTACTAACAAACTAACCATTTGACAACAGGCTCTTGACACCAACCATGGAAATCGGTAGCAACCAATCTTCACTAAAATCACAGACAAAAATTAGTATCTCCCATCCTGATGGCTTTACTCTATCACTAGAGAGCCTAGAAAGTAAAAATTGGGATTGAATAATATAAACTTGTATACTCCTGAACCAAACAAATTGAAAAGTATTTTTTTTCTTCAAAAAACAACAACAAAAGACAACCACCACCAAGAAACCAGTCCTAGGAGATAGCCCATCCCCACAATTCCAGAACAATCTGAAGGTTCAAGGTAGCCCTTGGCCACAGAGTTTGGAGGCCAGACAAAGCTATGTGAGTCACCGTTTAACACCTTAGAAGAGGCTAGCAGGGAAAATAGAAACTAGCTGGATATTGGTAAGAAACCAGCACCTAGCCAGGCGGTGGTGGCCCACGCCTTTAATCCCAACACTTGGGAAGCAGAGGCAGGCAGATCTCTGTGAGTTCGAGGCCAGTCTGAGCTACGGAGTGAGTTCCAGGAAAGGCGCCAAAGCTACACTGAGAAACTCCTTCTCAAAAAATCAAAAGAGAGAGGAAGAAAGAAGGAGAGAGAGAGAGAGAGAGAGAGAGAGAGAGAGAGAGAGAGAGAGAGAGAGAAAGAGAGAGAGAGAGAGAAAGAGAGAGAAAGGAAGGAAGGAAGGAAGGAAGGAAAGGAAGGAAGGAAGGAAGGAAGGAAGGAAGGAAGGAAGGAAGGAAGGAAGGAAGGAAGGAAAGAAGAAAGCAAGCAAGCAGCTCCTATTGCTTAGTGCTAACCGGCTGTGGTTGTATTCTGTTACATTTCTGTGGTGCCCCAGCCCTAGTGTTTATCTTTCAGATACACCTGAAGGGTTTACAAAGGAAGGGCCTCTTAGATTTAGTTCAGAGTATCCAACCAAAGGGGTAATACAGAACTGGCCACAAGATGATAACGTTTGCATACAGGTAAAGGCCATGTGAGGCTTTAACACACAGAAAGAACTCAAAATTTCTCTCAGGAAAAAAAAATTAACTTATGTATCCAAAAATCCTATCAAAAGTTCAGAAATTTGTGCTTCACTACACCACTCAGAATTATTTTTTTTCTTTTCTCCTGATCTGATTAATAATGACTTTCAGGCAACTCTTTGAGAAGTACCTGCCTGCATTCTAGAGGAAGCACTGCTTCCTTGCTCTCCAGTCCAACTTCCTCTGCCCTGTCAATCTTTTTTTTTCTTTTCTTTTCTTTTTTTTTTTTTTTTTTGGTTTTTTGAGACGGTTTCTCTGTGTAGTTTTGGTGCCTGTCCTGGATCTCGCTCTGTGAACCAGGCTGGCCTCGAACTCGCAGAGATCCGCCTGGCTCTGCCTCTGAGTCCTGTCAATATTAATGTCGGTACTTAAATCTGTTAAGAGTCTGTTCTTCACAAACTCCAACTTTGCCACAAGAAACCCAAACCCAAATCCTATTCCCCATACCAGTTTACGTTTTCCAACAGACCTAAAACCGAAATACAAGGCTCATCTTAATACTATTATTCGTCAGCAAGGCAGCTGCGAGGTAAACTTAGCATTCTAACTTACTACTGTTAATAATTTTAATTTCAAAACCACGTCTGTGTGAGCCACGACGATGAACTGCCACAGACTTGGTTTTGTTTTCAGTGTTTAAAACCTCGAGCGTTTTAAACTAAGATGAACGGGTACTGCGTACGGATGAAAACGAACTAACAGATGGTTGCTGACTCCTAGGAAGTGAACTCAACTGAAAAGGGCGACCGAACTTAATCAAACGTGACACACAAGACTTGCTCCCCAAATCTCCGCCTAAGTAACTCATCAACACACACTCCCTCCCCTGAAAAGGCTTTTTAAGAGGTTAGAAAGAAGCGACCCTGATTGGTTTCCTCCCCTCCTCCTTTCTTAAGGGAAGTGGCTCGGAAGGCAAGAAACAAGACAGGGCGGAAAGTGGAAAGCCAGAAAGCATGGAGTCTGTGCAGCCGGCACTTTAAATAACCGCCGAAGTGTTTCCAAGTTGGCATACATGAGGAGGGAGCCACTGAGCTACCTCTCCGCAACTCCGAAGTTCCCGAGCGGCTCCGGGAGGCGTTCACAGGGCCAGCGGTAGCGAGAGAGCAGCTCCAGCCCGCCCCACCCGACCCCACAGGGCCCGGCTCGCACCCACCTGGGCCGTAGGCCTGCCTGGGGCGGCAGCAGCAGCGCCCGAGCCCGGCCCGAGCCCGGCCCTCCACCGCCCGGGACGCTCAAACGACGGCCGAGCCCCACAGCCCCGGAGACGCGGGCGATGGCCCGAGCCCCAGCCGCGGGGACGCGCCCCGCCGAGGCCCGCCCACTCAGGGCCCCGGGCCCCGCGCGACTCCCGGCGGACCCCCGGCCCGAGTCCCGCTGCCTACCTGTCTTCGCTCTTGTTTTTCTGTTTCTTCCCCATGGCTTGTCAGCGGCGTCCGTGGACCCGGCCTCTCGGTGCGGTGTCTCAAACACCCACTGCCCCCCGGCTGACTCCAATGCCCGCTCGACTCTGTCCACCTCGCGCCGCCGCCTCTCGCACCCGGCTCTCCACAGACCCGCGCACTGGGACAGGGCACATATGGTGTGAGCCCTCAGTACGCAAGCGCATCGCCCCGCCGCCTCGGCGTGGGGACGCAGGGCGCGGCTCATCGAGAGCGGCGCTTCGGATAGAGCGTCTTCAGTTGACCCGCCGGCCAGGTGGGAACCCGAGCGCCCCCTAGCCGCAAGTGACTGCCGCGCACCGACGCCCGGCCGCTCCGGGGGTTCTAGAACCTAAGAGGACGACAATGAGGCGGTTCGTTTCTCACGTCAGCACGCTCCCCGGGACTGGCATTCGACTCGGGAGTGGTACTGAAAAATTCCCTCACGCCTACCTGTCCTCAGCTGCAGGAAGTTCATTCAGTACGGAAGCACAAGGAGTCAAGGATGAGCCTTCCGGAGTCCCCAAGGGACATACACCCAGAACAAAAATATATGGATCCCCATCAGTAACACTCATGTATAACACTTAGTAACACTGTGTACATTTATTAAGGGGAGAAGACACAAGGGTACAGCAGCCAATCCCCTAATATGAATCTTCATATAAGCAAGTTCTAAAAATTCATGTGTTTAAGGAAGATCTGGAGTAGTGAAAATACTCATCTAGTTTTAGGCGATGTTATTAGTGTGAGCTACGTATTGATAGTGTACTGTAAGCTACACTTCAACTTTAGAGACTATTAAAGGAAATGAAGCCCCACTGTCGCTCAGGAACAAGCTCGGGCTCATTTTGACATAGGGCTGACGTCTGAGCACAAGAACTACGATTCCCAGCGTCCTTAGCGCCCGTTCCTCCGGTCATTAGCCCACAAGCTTAGGACCGGAACCTTGTAGTTCCGGGTGGCGGAGGAGAGACGCACTCTGCGAGGCTTTCGTCACTCGCCAGCCGCCTCTTCCGCGGGTGTATCGCGAGAGGACTTTTAACCAATGAAAAGGAAGAACTGACAGAACCTTCGCCGCCCTTATCAACTGCTACGAGGCTGAAACCTGCGTGAACCTGATCGGTATTCTTGATCTGCAGCTTCCTCTCTAGTAGCCATCACCAATAGTCCAGGTACGGCAAAGGATGCTGTGACAGATCCTGCCCCGCGTTCCAGTGTTGAAGGACATGTCACGGCTACACATCCGGCTGGGTCGGGCCGGGTCTGGGGGAGGGCGCGGTTGGGACAGCCTTGTCTGTGCGGGCTACTGAGGCTGAGGCGCATGCGCCCCAGGTAGTGCTAATCGCTTCCCCAGGAACTCCTCCCCCTGCCCCTGGAGCTCAGGGAGTGGCAGAGAATCCACTGACAGGTACATAGGGTTAGGGTTTCGGGTAGGAGTTTGTAGGGGAGTTAAATAGGTGTCAGCCCTTCAATTCATCCGTAAGAATGATTAACATTCGAGCTGGTTCAATAAATAGAAAGTTATGGGGACCACTAAGCTATTTCCTTACCCCAACACCCCCGGTCGAAAGGCAGTAACCACCCCCGCCTAACCTAGCGCATCTCTTGTCGCCTGTGTTCTCGTGAAGCTCCGAATTTAAACGTAAAAGTATCCTGTAAAAGCCCCAGTAGTAGAGAGTCTTAATCTTATATTTCTCTTGCGGGAGTAGAGATCATAGAAATACAGCTTCTTTTCAATAGTGTAGTATTTATAAGGCGCTAACAATTGAGGTTTAGAGGGTTGTTTAGAATTTTTTTTTAAGATAGTCTTTTATGTAGCCCAGTTTGGTGTCTGCCGTTCTGTGTATCCAAGTCTTTTATGTAGCCCAGTCTGGTGTCTGCCGTTCTGTGTATCTAAGGATGGTCTCAAATCCCTGATCCCTATGCTTCTGCCTTTGAGAACTGAGATTACAGTCATGAGCCACCATGCCCAGGCTAGTTTTGTTTGTGAGATGATTGGTTTTAGCTGTCAGCTTGACACAATCTAGACTCATCTAAGGAGAAAGACTCAGTGACAGATTGGCTAGATCAGGTTGGTCTGTGGGAATGGCTGGGGGAGTGGGGATTGTCTTGATTGCTTTAATTAAAGCAAGGTGGCCTGCCCATTCGTGCAGCACCATTCTCTTCCCTAAATCTGAATCCTAGAGTATAGAGAGGGGGTTGAACACAGGTAGACATGCATGTATTCATTTCTCTCTCTCTCTGCTCATGGTTGGATGCAGTGTCTTCTGTTTCAAGTTCCTGCTTTACTTCCTTGAAGTGATGGATTGTAACCTGGACTTGCATGCAAATAAACCTATCTCTAGTAAAGCTGTTAGGATATTTTTGAGGAAGTATAGAAATGAAACTCCTTATGGCAGTATCCATGAAAAAAAAAAAAAAGATTTTTATAGAAGCCATAAAGCTGGTTAGTACAATTAGGAAATTCCCTGGATCCTGGAACTATGGACCATGTCTTTGATGGATTAGGTGTTTGTTCTGGTTTTAGCAGGTGTTGGGGCCTACATGCTGGGTTCTGAGGTCAGAATGGTATCTCTGACAGGGCATCTGCTGTGTTAGAGACCTGTTACAAAGATCCTCTCCTTAAAACGACACCAACAAAACCCCCAAAGTGTAAACTTAATGCTTGTTTTTTGTGACCCTCCCAGCAGCAAGACTGTTTAGAAAAATGGAAGGGAATGGATCCATCGACATGTTCTCAGAAGTCCTAGAGAACCAGTTCCTCCAGGCCGCTAAGCTCGTGGAAAACCACTTGGACTCTGAAATTCAGAAACTGGATCAGATTGGGGAAGACGAGCTGGAACTCCTCAAAGAAAAGAGACTGGCGGCACTCCGGAAGGCCCAGCAGCAGAAACAAGTAACCTCCCGCCTGCTCTCTGACATCGCCTTAGCACTGTGCTCCTGACTGCACGTGTGCTGTCACGTGACCTTCCCTCCTCACTTTCAGAATGCTCTGAACTCAACTCTCTGTCACTGTTAAATATTTTCCCAGGAATAAAACTTGAGGGAAGACTTAGGCAAGATGTAGCATTTAATTGAGGAGCTGACATGTCAAAAGAGAGATTAAAACTTTTCTCTCAGACCAAGCTTAGGGTCCACATATCAAAATTGAAGACATACAGTGGTTCTGTGTGAGAAGATGTTTCTAAATGTTAAAGCATGTGTGCATTTTTATTAAAGTTTTGTCTTTTTGGGGGGTGTGGGACGGTGGGCAGGCTCTCACTGTGCAGCCATGACTGGCCTGCTTCTGCCTCCAGAAGTGCTGGGATTGAAGGCGTGCACCACCACACCCAGTTCTGTCCTGTCGTTTTCATGAAAACTCAGTGAGATGGCTGGTTTATCGTACCCACGTACAAAAGAGAAAATGCGAGCTCAGAAAAGTCATTAAAATTCCAGATCAGTAAATGGTGGCAAGGGTATTGAAACTTTGCCTTCATGGTTTCTTTTTTCTTTCTTTCCTTTTTTCTTTTTTTTAAACCAGCTGGCTGAAAGGCATAGTGAGAGTCTAGTTGAGATGGCAAGCTTTCTGCCACAGGAAAGATGGAAGGGGCTGAAAGAGTTCTCAGGCTTGGTTGATAGGGGCGCATGCCTTGGCTTGTGAAAGTTATTTATATCTGAGGTTTTCCTTGGTTCTGGACACCACATAAGTAGAATACTTCTCCCTCTGAGAACTCTGCTCACTGATGGCTAGTCTAGACATCCTTGCCTGTTTGAGATTGTTATCAGAAGCAGATAGGTGGGTTCCTAAGCTTCTGAACTGCAATAACCACACTGTCCTCCCAAACTGACAGGCTTTGCTTCATGGGATGGTTTATTTTGTTTGTTTTTTTTTAATTATTTCTTATTTTTGAAATTATAATATAGTTACATCATTTCCCCCTTCCCTCCCTCCAAACCATTCTATATGCTCCCTTTCAAACTCATGGCTTCTGCTTTCATCAATTGTTGTTACATCTATATGTGTGTATATGTAAATGGACATTTCCTGTCCTGACTGCCTGGTCCCACATAACCGACTCAGAGGCTGATTATGAATTATAAATGCTCAGCTGATAGCTCAGGCTTGTTACTAGCTAACTCTTACACTTAAATTCACCCATATTTGTATTTATGCTTTGCCATGTGGCACATGCCATGTGGCTCATGACCTCATTTTTTCACACGTTTTGTTGCGTCTCTCCTGACTCTGCCCCTCTTTATCCCAACATTCTTTCTGTGTCTGGCTGTCTCGCCCAATCTCTTCTTGCCCTGCTATCAGCCAGTCAGTTTTTTATTAACAATGAGCATAATCCACAGCATGTATATACATACATATTTCTAAATATGGTCTGCTCAGTCTATATGATGTTATATATATGTACATTTTCAAGGCTGACAATTTGGTAGTGGATAACCAGTTGGTGTGCTCTTCCCAGGAGAAGGCTATTTCTCCCACTCTCAGCATTCTGTAGTTTCCTGTCAGAACATTATTTTTTTTTAAGTGTAGAACTGTGTGTGTCTCAGTGATAGAGCTCTTGCCTAGCCTGCTCTTGGTCCTGGGTTCAGTCCCTAACATCACAAAAATAAACAAACAAAAAACCCTGAAAAAACAAACAGAAAAACCCTTTTGTAATAAGATTGCCACTAGAGTCCTAGAAAAGTTAATTGCTGAAAGGAATGCTTTTCACTGTGGGATAGAATTGATTTCTTTACAAAATAATATAGTGATTAGGACACTTAAGATACCAAGTATCGCCGAAAAACATTTCAGCTGGGTCGTATGCTTCTCTTGAACTTAGGAATGGCTTTCTAAAGGACATGGGGAGTACAGAGAAGTGGCCAGCGAGAGAGACTTCTTTCAAGAAGTCAAGGAGAGTGAAAAGGTGGTTTGCCATTTCTACAGAGACACCACATTCAGGTAACTTTGCTTCCATCCTTGATGTCAGTGTTCCTATGAGAATGGTTTATTGTTCCTCAGCTGTGTTTCCACTGTGTAACTCTATAAAGACATCTTACCAAAACAGTAATTGGATTGCTGGGAATTGGAGGGCAACAGCTTTCCTAATTGGTGTTTATCCATTCACTCTGTTCTCTTGATAAGGAGATAGCGAGTGACTTGACCAAGCCTTTCATCAGAACCTTAGTTGGAACTGCCAGGCTTGGTTAGAAGTAATTTTCCTTAGGGTACCCCAATCTGTGAATCTAAGGAATCCCTTGGAGAGGGGAAGTAGCACACACACACCCCCAAGTTATATTTTTGAGGAGGAGCGAACTAAGGACTTTTACATGCTACGTAGCTGTTCTACAACTGAGCTATATTCCCAGCCTAAGAGGTTATGTTTTCAAACAGAGGACTCAATCTTGGGAGTTTTGTGTGCATTTGGATGTGTATTGGTTTTTTTTTTTTTTTTTTTTTTTTTTTTTTGTCATCCTCATCGTCGTTCCTCCTCCCCCACTTCAAAAGGGATTAGTTGCCTGTAGCTAGAGTTTTCCTGCCTGGCCCACAGTCAGGACAAATCTCTCTCACCTGCCAGTCCCACAGCCGCTCAGACCCGACCAAATAAACACAGAGACTTATATTGTTTACAAACTGTATGGCCGTGGCAGGCTTCTTGCTAACTGTTCTTACAGCTTAAATTAATCCATTTCTATAAATCTATACCTTGCCACATGGCTCATGGCTTACCGGCATCTTCACATGCTGTTTCTCATTGTGGCGGCTGGCAGTGTCTCTCTGACTCAGCCTTGCACTTGCCAGCTTTATTCTCCTCCTTGTCCCGCCTACACTTCCTGCCTAGCCAATGGCCAATCAGTGTTTTATTTATTGACTAATCAGCAACACATTTGCCATACAGAACATCCCACAGCAGTTGCCAACCTTTAAACCTTGACAGTTTAAGAATTAGCCAGATTTTGCCGGTGGTGGCGCACGCCTTTAATCCCAGCACTCGGGAGGGAGGCAGAGCCAGGCGAATCTTTGTGAGTTCGAGGCCAGCCTGGTCTACAGAGGGAGATCCAGGACAGGAGCAAAGCTACACAGAGAAACCCTGTCTTGAAAAAACAAAAAACAAAAAACAAACAAAAAAAAAACTAGCCAGATTTCAGAATTTTTAAAAATTGAGAAAGCTGATAATAACTAGAATTATAATAGCAGTTTTCTGGTGCTACCTTTCTTAGATGGACATGCAAGGTAACTTGACTCACGTACTGTATCTCAGCCCTACCTTCTCTCTGTACTGTAGCCCATCTGGCCTTTATCTTAGCCTCAGAACCCAATCACTTCATTATTAACACCTTTCAGAGATTGAGTGCCCTAGATTCATTCTCTGAGATAAGGAGAGCAGATATTGAGAAGAATTAGAATGGCCGAAGAGCACTGAACACTCTCCGTAAGTCCCAGCCTGCAGCAGTTATGGTAAGGTGGTCACTGACACCAGCAGATAGGATCGATGCCTGTCCACTCATTTGTCGTGTCTTTCTCTGTCGATGGTTGGCTTTGTACAAGCAGAGCATTTGCTGTCAGTAGCTCTGGAGCAGAAATGCTGGCACATCAGTGGAGGCCAAGTAAATGTAGCTGATGGATGGGAAACTGAACATCCGGAGTGCTCACCTCCCGGCAGGACTGGGAAACCAAAATTCACACCATTCCATTAACTTTTGTATGCAGCTCCCAAAATCCCTAGGAGATAGTAAGATGGATACACCCATGAATGTACGTTTTTTTTAATAATGTTTATAGTAACCTTTGAGGTATGGGTTATAATTCTCTTTCCTGTGTAAAAAGATGAAGTGACTCAGCCACTAAATAATGGAAGAGATTTGAATCCATGTTTTCAACCTGAGACTATGTACATTACATGTACATTACTACTGCTTCTGTAGTTTATTTTTAGATTTATTTATTCTACTTTATGTGTATAAATGTGTCTTGCCAGCATGTATATATTTGCAGCATATGTGTGCCTGCTGCCTAGAGATCAGAAGACCAAATCAGATCCCCTGCAACTAGAATCATGGATGGTTGTGAACCATCTATGTTTAGAGCAACAGAACCTGGGTCCTTTGCAAGAGCAGGCAGTGCTCTTAACTGCTGAGCCATCTCTGCGGCCCTGCTTCTGGATTTTGAAGTGTTTTCTGTGGATGTTTTGTTTGTTATTTGTTTTGTGGAGCTTTTAATTTGTTTGGTTTTTGTTGGCGGTGGTGGGTTTTTTGTTTTTTTGTTTTTTGTGATATTAGAGAGTGAACCCAGGGCTTCATGCATGTCAGAATTTTTATTTTATTTTTTTAAGACAGGGTCTTGCTATATAGCCCTGGCTGGCAAGGAACTCAGAGATAAATTCACCTGCTTCTACCTCCCAGGTGCTGGAATTAAAGGTGTGCTAGATTTTTTTTTTTTTTTTGGTTTGGTTTTTCGAGACAGGGTTTCTCTATGTAGTTTTGGTGCCTGTCCTGGATCTTGCTCTTGCTCTGTAAACCACGCTGGCCTCGAACTCACAGAGATCCGCCTAGCTCTGCCTCCCGAGTGCTGGGATTAAAGGCGTGCGCCACCACCGCCAGGCTAGGTGTGCTAGATTTTTAACAATGGGTTTGTAGTTGGTTTTTCTATTACTCTTTACTCTTTGGGGGGAGGGCACCACCCAGTTCCCAAATCCTAACACAGAGGCTTATTTTCTTATAAACATTCAGCCTTATCTTGGCTTATTTCTAGCCAGCTTTTCTTAAATTATCCTGTCTACTTTTTGCCTCTGGGCTTTTTCCTTTTCTTACTTCTGTATATCTTACTTTCACTGTTATTCTGTGGCTGACTGTATGGCTGGTCCCTTAATATTCCACGACATGGGTTGATCCCAGGCATTGTGGTCTATACTTGTAATTTCATTGCTTTTAAGATTGAAACGAGGATCACAATTTTGAGGCCAGCCTGGTCTACATAGTAAGATCTTATCTCAAAACAACAACAAAGTATGTTAATAACAAATGGTGTGAATAGACTTAATTAAAATAGGTTCCCAGCACTCGGGAGGCAAAGGCAGGTGGATCTCTGTGAGTTCGAGGGCAGCCTGGTCTACAGAGCGAGATCCAGGACAGGCACCAAAACTACACAGAGAAACCTTGTCTCAAAAAGCCCAAATAAATAAATAAATAAATGGTAAATAAATAAATAAATGGGTTCCTTTTACAGTTAAAATATAGGGTAGATTTATGTAAAGATTTCTTACATACAGATTTACTATTTGTTTAGAGCATTGTTTAGAACCTGTTATTTGTTCTCTTACCCTTTTATCTCTAAAATCTTACCTTATTTGCTATTTCGGTTTTTCGAGACCGGGTCTCTATGTAGTCCTGGCTGTCCTGGAACTCACTGTGTAGACTAGGCTGGCCTCAAACTCAGAGATCTGCCTGCTTCTGCCTCCAATTACTGGGATTAAAGGCTCTGAAATATTATTGAAGACCCAGCCAGGAACAAAATTTGGCATCAAGGTTAAAGGAAACTTCCTGAGCCCACACTAGTTCTGGAGCAACCCTAGGTACTCAAGAATCACCTATGTACTTCCCAGCTCCACCCCAGAGAATTTTAACTCACCTCTATGTTTTAAAAGTAATCAAGTATTAACTGGTTGTTGCGGTGCACACCCTTAATCCCAGCACTCCGAGACAGAGGCAGGCAAATCTGGAGTCCAAGGCCAGCCTGGTCTATGGAGTGAGTTCCAGGAGAGCCAGGGCTACACAGAGAAACCCTGTCTCAAAAAACCAAATAAGTAAGTAAAAGTCCACTATAGTGAACACCTTGTGCTTAAGAACTACAGACCCTGCAAGATTGGTGGTCTGTTTCAAAACCACTAGGAGCTTGGTTTGATTAAAATAGATTTTAATTTAAAGAAAATGTCACTTCCTCTTCAGTAGATGGTTTAGTAAAAATCACTACAGAGCTGACAGTGCCGTTTATTGGGTTCAGCCTCTAGCACTGGGGAGTTGGAGGAGGTAGAGTCACACTGATATTTCTTAGGGGCCACACTAGCCATATGTAAAGAGTGTTAATAACCTTTAATAGATAAACTTCCCTGACAGAGTTACATGAGTCATGGAGTTCTTGGTAACTCCAGTTTTGTGGGGTTGTTTGTTTGTTTGTTTTTCAATTTTTGGTTTTTCTAGACAGTGTTTCTCTGTGTAGTTCTGGCTGTCCTAGAATTCGCTCTGTAGACCAGGCTGGCCTCCAACTCAAAGATCAGCCAACCTTGCTTCCCAAGTGCTGGGAATAAAGTGTAAGCCACCACTGGCCAGCTCTGGTGACTCCAGTTTTTAATCCTAAATTCCAAATGTGACACCAGCTGAATCTTTGCCTCTTGTGACTTCTGTCAGCTTCAGATCTGTCCCTCTTTGTTCTTAGGAAGACACCAGGAAACATTCATGCAAAAGGGGACCAAGACCTTAAGTTTTTTGTTTTTATCCTAAATATGACAACTCATAAAATTGAGACTCAGACAGAAAAACTCTTAAAGTGAGATGCACAGTGACGCTTCCTTGAGCTTTTCCCTTTCTGCTCTTAACTTATAGGTGTAAAATACTAGACAGACATTTGGCAATACTGGCCAAAAAACATCTTGAAACCAAGTTTTTGAAGCTGAATGTGGAAAAGGCGCCATTCCTCTGTGAGAGACTGCGCATCACAGTCATCCCCACATTAGCGCTCCTGAGAGACGGCAAGACACAAGATTATGTTGTCGGGTTCACCGACCTAGGCAATACGGATGACTTCACTACGGAAACCTTAGAATGGAGACTTGGCTGTTCCGACGTTATCAATTACAGGTAACCTTTAGCAAAAACAAACCAAAAAATAGACTTATTTGAAGCCCTGCCTAGTTGGTAGTTTTTTAGGTTTGTTTATTTATTTACTTATTTGGTATATAACGTTTATTTTATGAAATTAAGTTCTGTTGGATAAGATGTAGACAGTGTGGGAAAAGCTTGTTTCTTTTTCTTTTTTTTTTTTTTTGTTTTTTGTTTTTTGTTTTTGTTTTTGTTTTTTTGTTTTTCGAGACAAGGTTTTTCTGTGTAGCTTTGGAGCCTGTCCTGGCACTCACTTTGTAGGCTGGCCTTGACCTCACAGAGATCTGCTCCAGCCTGCCTCTGCTTCCCGAGTGCTGCGATTAAAGGCTTGTGCCACCACCACCCGGCAAAAAAAAAAAAAAAAAAAAAAAAAAAAAGCCCATTTCTTAAGGCTTGGAACAATGTGATCTTATAGCAAAACCAAATTTACAGATAAAAACTCAGGCTTGGAAGAAGCCTAGAAGTTTTCAACTTAAGAAATGTTACTGAAACTAATTTTGGAAACTCAAAGTGACAATCCAGAATACATTGCCTTTGGGTGTGTGGAGGGTGTTTTTGTTTCTTATGGTGTTAGAGATTTAGCTCAGAGCCTGCACATGCTAGGCAAGTCCTCTGTCACAAAGCCATACCCTAAGCTTACCCCTACGATTTATGACTGACTGAAGTGATTCTCTGTGATGAAATTAAAATGTAAAACACACTGCTACAGAGGTCATTACACTTTTGTAGTTCCACGTTTGCAGTACTGAGGTGAAACCCAGGGCCTCACATATACTAGCTGTGTGCTCCACCACCATACCACAATAGTAATCCCTAGCCCTGAACACTATGATGTTAAAACCATAGGCTTTTATTGTAGACATGTATATGCCATGTGTACAATCTGAAAATACAAAAGGTTTCTATGCTTCCATAACTGAAAAATGGTCTTATTTGTAAAACGATCTAAAATCCAGCTTCCATTTTTTTGGTGCTTGGCTTTGTCCCTCTCAAATTGAAAATACCACCTGTGTTTTATGCCTCTTCTTGCTTTGAAAAACAAGGAAAAGAGAAAGAAAGAAAAAAAGAGACAGGCAGGCAAGGAAAATTGTGTCTTTCAAAGCAGAAAATCTCACCTTTTCTCTGCCCTACTTCCCCTCACTTCTCTGAGTCTCTGATAAACATGGATGAATCATTCCTATACTATAGAAGTCCATTTCTTTTTGTTAATATTAACATAAATTAACATTTGTTCAACAAAACGTTGAAATTATTTCAAACTTGGTTTTCTTTTGGTTTTGTGTTTTGAGACAAGGTCTTACTCTACAGTCCAGTAATGTTAATCTCTTGCCTCAGCCTCCCAAGTGCTGGGATTACAGGTGAGATCCAACATGCCCAACTTGATTTCAAATTTTAATTAATTTGAAAAGTAACAGAAGGAATTATTACATAGTCTTTACCATATTCCCACATTTTAAATGTATATGCTGGATACATAACAATTTTTTTCAGAACCATTTGAGTATATTCCTTTATTTCTGAATGTATATTTCCTAAGAATAAGGATATTTCCTTATATACCCCCAGTGCCGTTACTAAAATAGCAGTGATGTAGTTTACAGAACCTACTCAAATGTACCACCATCCTTTTATTGTTCTCCATGTCTGAAAAATGTGTCACATTTAGTTATTGCGTTTAGTTTCTGTAACAGATTCTAAATTGATTTTCCAGGCTGACAGTTTTTAGAAGTCTAAGCTAGTCAATGTCTCAGGTGTTCTTCAGTTTGGGTTCGTGTGTGCATCTCGGCATCAGACTCAGGTCTTACATCAGGGCTAGTTGCTCCGGGAGAATGTTCGCGCCCTCGCTCTTAGTGTATCCTCTGATGGTTTGTCTGTTCAGTGGTACAGCACGAGGTTGAGCACTGCTCTGTCATGCCAGGCGGTAATTTCATGAGGAACTTTTTTTTTTTTTTTTTTTTTTTTTTGGTTTTTCGAGACAGGGTTTCTCTGTGTAGCTTTGCGCCTTTCCTGGAACTCACTTGGTAGTCCAGGCTGGCCTCGAACTCACAGAGATCCGCCTGGCTCTGCCTCCCGAGTGCTGGGATTAAAGGCGTGCGCCACCACCGCCCGGCATCATGAGGAACTTTTGTATCACTTGCATTTATTTACTTGTCCTTTAGTGATTAGTCTGGGCTGTGAATGGTTTTATTCTGTGGGTTATCATCTGTAAGACTCCATTATCCTTTGACACTCCCTTTACGATCCACGCAAGATGCATTAGGAAAGCTTATAATATATTCTCTCTAAAATTAGCTGTGTTTCTAAGAAGTTCTGCTTCCTTTCAGTGGCAAATGATGGTTTTTCCTTCCTTTTTTTCATTTATTGATTAATTTATTTACTGTTTATTTAGGGCAGGCTCTCACTTTATAGCCCAAATGGTCCTCACACTTGCAGACCTTCTACCTCAGCTTCCTGGCAACTAGAATTACAGGCATGTGCCACCATGCCTGTATAGCAAATGATGTTCCAAAACTAACATCTGGATGCCAGTAATACTCCCCAGATACAAACACAAACTGTCTCATCATTTATTTCTCTAGCATCATTGAAAAGGTTTAAAAATAAATGTTTTGTTTTGTTTTTTAAGTTTTATGTCAGTTCCAGGCTGACGTTAGTGCTTTGCTGAGTTTTGCTAGTGTGTGTAGAAATGTAAACACTGGGGTGCTACCCAGCAAGAGTCACGTTGAGAGCTCCAACACAGCAGTGTTGCCAGTCATCATTAGCACGGGTTCAGCACTTTTCCCTGCCTGCTTCGGAATGTTAATGCCCAGTGTGCAAAGGGCCAGGACTCCATCTCCATCACCTCAAAAATGTTTATGATAATGATCATGATAAACAAGAAACTCAAACGTTGATCTAATAATTAGATAAGGAGTAAAACTATTAACCATTAATATTAATGCTTTTTTACACCCTAGCATCCCAAGTGTATTAATCATAAAAAATAAAATGCTCTTAAACTTTGTTTCACTTTTAGTGGAAATTTAATGGAGCCACCATTTCAGAGCCAAAAGAAATTTGGGACAAACTTCACAAAGCTGGAAAAGAAAACTATCCGAGGAAAGAAATACGATTCAGATTCTGATGATGACTAGACTGTGCTGTCCTTGTAGACCATCTGTTTGTCTGTTTACTTCAGAGTTAAGTGTGTTCCTAAATTCTCCTGATTTCGGCCCATTGACCATCTATACTCATATCCCAACGTTTATACTGTGTCACTACATGGAAGAACATCATTACTATTTTGACCATCATGTGTAACTTGAAAGAAACAGATATTTTAAATTACCTGGAAAGGGTCTGCATTCTCTATTTTTGTGATTGATTTTATCATAACGTAATTCTTCTATCTTTATACCACTCACTCTTGTGTTTTAAATCTACTGAATTAGAAATAGAAATTCAGCCAACTATTCCAGCATTTAATGAGTGCTGTCTATACAAGGGTGGGTAACATTTCCTGGTGTAGCACATGCACCTGTCAGTGAATCCTCACTTCATTCATAGAATGTGTTTCAGGAGATATTAAAGCCTTGCTCATGTATTCTGGGTGCAGCATGTTGAATCTGCTGATAGCAGAAACTCAGGTTATAAGCACATTGCCTTATTTAAAGGATCCTCATTGCTTACACGCTGAGACCTGCATTAAAAAATAATTAAGAAACAGTTTTTGTGTGGCAGCATATGGATCTCCAGTGACGCTCAGTAAAACAGTTTTAGCATAGGTAAAAATTATTTTTCAAAAGTATAAGTCTGGAAACTACTGTATTTGGTAAGAGTACACAGCAAACAAAAACATTAAAAAAAGAAAGAAAGAAAAATCTTAAGGTAAGGGTGTAGTTCAGTGATAGATCATGTGCTTAGTGTGAACAAATTCTTAGGTTTGATGCCCAGAACGAAATAAGTTTTGGTAAGAACCGTGAGAGTGGCATCATCTAATGAGATGGCTCAGTGTAGAAAGGTGCTTGCCACAAAACTTGAGGACCTGAGTTCAATCCCCAGAACCCACTTGGAAGGAGAGAAACAATTCCTGCAAATTGCCATGTAACATGCACATAGAATACAGCAACTACAAATTGAATGTAAGAAGGTGACTTGAGTTTTGGAAGCAGTCTAAAGCAGGAAAGAAGGGGAAAGTGTAGAACAAACATTAAATTAAAAGTGACATCAAGGGGCGGGGGGACATGGCTCAGCAGTTAAGAGCACTTGGGTTCGATTCCTAGCACCCACATGGCGGTTCACAGCCATTCGCTAGCTCCAGTTCTGGGGGAATCGGATGCTGCCTTCTCGCCTCCATGGGCACCAAGCACACGTGCCCATACACACATTCAGGCAAAACACATATGCATAAACTGAGGTGAGTCTAATTTTTAAAAGATATAAAAATCTAGTTTTTGAAAGCGACAAACCTGTTGTGAGCAGTTGAGAGAAAAGGCACAGCAGAAGAGATTCAAGTAAAAATTGAAATGGCTAACTATGAACAACTCTATCCCAATAAATCTAGAAAACTTCCTAGAAAGACCAACTAGAAAAGTATCTGAGAAGAAATAAAAAACTGGAGCAGGGATCTAGAGAGATGGCTCGGTGGTTAAGAGTGCACACATACTGCCCTTGCAGAGGACCCAAGCTCGGTTCCTGGCACCCATGTCAGTGGGAGCTCACAACCCCCTGTAACTCAAGCTCCAGGGGGTCTGATGCCCTTCCCCAGCCTCTGCACGCACTGGCGCACACATGTGCAGACTCAGACATACATAAAGGAAAACCTTTTTTTAATTTGGGCAGAACTAAAACCGATAAAGAGAATTTCTAATGGAAAAGTCCAACACCAGATGGCTATAGTGGTAAATTCAACAAAACATTTTTAAAGAATAGTTAACATCAGTTTTCACAAACTTAAAACTAAAACATGAGGTACAACTCTCTCTTGCTGTTAGGCTAGTATTAAGCTAACACCAAAGCCAGACTGCAACATTACAAAATTACTGACCAATAACTGTTCTGAATACTCAAAAATACTAGCAAACTAAAGCCAAGCAACATAAGAAAACAAGATTATATCATATGATCACACACGTGCATATACCCAGATACAGACATAAACATCATTTAAATCTTAATAAGCAAAATCTTGGGGGGGGTGTTTTGCTTTTTTGAGACAGGGTTTCTGTGTGGAGCCCTGGCTATCCTGGAACTAGCTTGGTAGACCAGGCTGGCCTCAAACTCAGAGATCTGCCTGCCTCTGCCTCCCAAGTGCTGCGATTAAAGGCGTGTGCCCCCACCACCTGACACAAAATCTTTTTTAAATCAATGCAATTCATCCTGTAGCTACAAGTGGTAACAGCTGCCCTAACAGAGCAGACCTAAAGCAAAATCAGAGACAAACTTCACAACAGGCTTCTGGGGTAGATGGTAGACCCAGAGCTGCCCTTGTGAGTCAATGAAGAAGAGAAAAGTTGTCTGTATTTGAAAGAGAGGAAGATGGGCAACGATTCAGAAACCCACAAAGGTAGTCTGAAAGCTTGGAGAAAAGGTGTAGTGACACAGAAGAGCCAGCCCAAGCACATGCATGACTCTGGCGAGGGGTTACATCAGGTAAGCCAGGCAATCCTGGTGAAGAGGCCAGCAGCCCTACCTTCGGGGAAGCCCACAGCCGTCAGACCCAGTTGTGGGCTTTGATGAGACCATGGTTCCTCAGGCAGATGGGTCTGCAGTAGAGGGGAATCCTATTTCTGTTACTGTGAGTGACTCAGCAGGCAGGGTCCAGGCACCACCTTGAGAGGGAACTGAGCTACACTGGAAGCCTGAGGATGGAGAACAACCACACAACGGTTTAGTCAGCCATGGTTCAGTTCAATAATGACGGACAGCCCTGGGAGTGCTACATGAGACAGAAGATAGGACAGTACAGTGCACAAGAAAAAAGCCCTGCCCTGGTTGTTCGGAGCAGAACCCATCAACTGAAAATCCCTCTGCAGTTCTGAAGCCCTGCGCCTGAGGTCAGCAGGTGGCCCCTGATGCTCTCTAGGTAGCAGTACCTACTCTGCTGCAGAGCCTGGAGACTGAAGCTCCAGCAGGCAAGCTCCCACAACCGCACCCTTCCAGCCAGAACGTGGTATCTTGGTTGCTCCCACACTCCCAGGACACTTGGGAGACATCACCCTAGCCAGGGTATCGGCCACTCCGGAAGACAGGATCCGGGAGTGAGCTTGATGAGAGACTATCCCGCTCACAGACTGCAAAGCCAAGTGTGGCCAGTAGAGGACCCTGCTACACAAAAAAGGGAAGCTACTGAAGTAGAGACAGGTCCTGTGAACAGCAGACACCTGCCTGACAGGGCTTATCCTTAGAAAAGCGCCCTCCCCGTTAACCGCCCTCACCCCCACACGTAGGAGCAGCAGGCTGCAGTTCTTAGGCTCTGAAACAAACTCCCTTGGCTCTCCATCCTTTCTTTGACCTCCAAGCCTCGTATTTACTTGTTCTTGTTTTTTTCTTTCTTTTTTTTTATTATTAAGAAATTTTCTGTTCATTTTACATACCAACCACAGGTGCCCCTCTCCTCCCTCCTCCCACCCCTCAACCTTCCCCCCAACAACCCACCCCTCATCCCACCTCCTCCAAGGCAAGGACTCCCATGGGGAGTCGGCAGAGCCTGGTACATTCCGCTGAGGCAGGTTTATTTGTTCTTAAACTCACAGCAGTCCTTTTACTTTATCCTGTGGTTTTTTGTTTTTTTTTTTTTTTTGGTTTTTCGAGACAGGGTTTCTCTGTGTAGCTTTGCGCCTTTCCTGGAACTCACTTGGTAGCCCAGGCTGGCCTCGAACTCACAGAGATCCGCCTGCCTCTGCCTCCCGAGTGCTGGGATTAAAGGCGTGCGCCACCACCGCCCGGCTATCCTGTGTTTTTTAATGATTTGGGTTTGTTTTTTCTTCATGGAATCATCTCATTTTGATTATGTATTTTTTCACTATTAGGTAATCTTTTTTCTTTTCTTGTTTCCTTTCTTCTTTAGTTCCTCTTAACTAGACCTTCAGCAGTAGCTTGACTTGGTCTTGCTGGGGACACTCTTTAGTTTTAAAAACTCGTGTTTTTATTTTGTACCCCCTTTTTATGAGGGGGGGTTGGGACAGGTTGACTCTACGTAGCCCTGTGTAGACCAGGCTGGCCTCGAACTCAGAGATGTGCCTCCAGGACGCTGGGACTACAGGTGCTGCCACCAAGCCCGCTGGACTCCTTAACGTTTATCTAACTTTGTTTTTGAACTTTATCATTATTGCAAAACCTGGGCTTTTATTGTTGTTTCTGCTCTTCTAATCTCTCTCTCTTCCCGTCCACAACATTCTTCTCTACTTTTCTCCCCTTGCTTTTCATTCATTTAATACTACTTCCCTATCTTCCCCTCTTCCCCGCCTTCTTCCTATATTTGCTATTGCCATATTTACCCTAGGTAATTTTTAACTTCATAACATTCTATATTACTTTTTCCTATTCTCCATTTAATGGTAACGTGATACTTTTTTTGTTTTTTCGAGACAGGGCTTCTCTGTGTAGCTTTGGTGCCTGTCCTGGATCTCATTCTGTAGACCAGGCTGGCCTTGAACTCACAGAGATCCACTTGGCTTTGCCTCCCGAGTGCTGGGATTAAAGGCATGTGCCACCACCGCCCGGCAGGTGTATTTCTATATTTGATACTGTTGCTGTTATAATAGTTTGTTTTCTCCATACTTCGTGGTACTAGAGACTGAGCCCTGAGAGTGGGTTGCTCACTAAGATTTGCAAGTAAAACCAGAAGAGATAACCAAACCAAAGATGTACAATTTTCATCACAGAAACACCAGGAATATGGGGGAAAAGGGAGGAGCGGGGCAAGGCAACATGATTACCACCAAAGTTCTAACTTTGTATTCATTGTTTTTAAAAGGTGAAGGATTTGTATTTTGGTATTATTTTAACTGTGTGTGTGTGTGTGTGTGTGTGTGTGTGTGTGTGTGTGTGTACCAAAGCACATGTGTGGAGGTCAGAGGACAACTTGCAGGAGTTGGTTCTCTCCTTCCACTATGTGAGGTCATCAAGGTTGGCACAATGGGTAAAGGCGCATGCCGCCATGCCTGGCAACCTGAGCTTGACCCCCAGGACTTATGTAAACACCAGTCAGAGTAGCATTGGATCAGTAATCCCCATGCACCCCTAGGGTGAGAGGCAGAGACAGGAGACTCTTCCAAAGCTTGTGATCCAGCCAGCCTGTGCACACAATGGTGAAGAAACCTTTCCTCAACAAGGTAGAAAAGGAAGGTCCAAAATCCAAAGGTTGTCTTCTAACTGCCACACAAGCAGGCATATGCAGATCACATCCACACATAGGAACGTGTACAAAACACACACACACACAAACACACATGGTTTCTTAACCCTTGAGGCAAAAAAACAACAAAACAAAACCAGCATCCTGATACCAAAATGGGTTAAGAACACAACAAAAGAAATTATAGGTCAATTTCCTTGATGAACATAGGCAGAAAGAAATCCTCCATAAGATACGTGCAAATC